CTGGTGATGCTGAAGATGCTACGGGTGGTGATGCTGATGGTGCGGATGCTTCTGGTGCACCTGCTGATGATTCTGCTGGTACTGGTGATTCTGCTGTTGCTGATGTTGTGGCGGAAGGTGAGGGGGTCGAGTCTGCAAGTGATACTAATGAGTCTGGGAAAGCAACTGTGGAAGAGTCTGCTGGTGATACTAACGAGTCAGGGAAAGCGGCAGTTGAAAATTCTCCAGGTGAGGCAAGAGAGGACGAGGTTACTGAGGGGGAGGGGGAGACAGCGAGTGAGAAAGTGAGTGTTAGTAGGAAGGTGAGGGGTGGAGGGGAGGGCACGAAGAAGAGCAAGAAGGAGAGTATGAAGGTTAAAAGCAAGAAAGTGCGCAAGGTAGAGAGCAAGGAGAGTAAGGTGAGGAGCAAGAAGGCGAGTAAGGTAAAGAGCAAGAAGGAAAGCATGAGGAAAGAAGAGGAGTAGTGATGGTTGGGGTATATAGGTGGTCTTGGACGACAAATATTGATGGGAGAAAGCTAAGGAGATCTAGAACTACTTCATAGGTTCGAATATTGCTTGTTAATAGGAGTGTTGCCATGCACAGTTACGATAGGGAGCTTGCCTACCCTCTTCTTTGAGTGTGGCTTTATCAAATGTATACGGATCTTTTTAAACATTATCAGATGCCACGGATGTCATTGTGAACAACATATACACAATATTCAGAATGTAACGTCCATTCCCTGCTAGCCCATGCGCAAGAGCTCACAACTGCTCACACGAGGACCATCCGAACACACTGAATAACTAGGTTGCCCCACCACTCTAGAACGGAATGGAGTGGACCCAATGATATTCCCCTGGCCCTAGGGCGAATGATCCTCCCGAGTGTCAAACATGTGTATTTGTCATGTTTGTATAGACTGTATAGGGTCACCTTTTAGAGGGTACAACACTTAGGTATATCTGTGTGTACTCTCACTCTACAATCATTCACTACTCTAATTCTGATATGGTATCACGCGTAGGTTAGGATCCCCCCCCACCTACCGCTTCCGCTCGCCCCCCTAGCCGTGCCTCCTCCTAGCCCCGGCGTGCCCCTAGCCCCGTCGCGACCCCCAAGCCCCGTCGCGCCCCTCCTCGGCCCCGTCGCGCCCTCCTGGGCCCCGTCACGCCCCCCCTGGGCCCCATCGCGCCCCTCCTGGGCCCCGTAGCGCCCCTCCTGGGCCCCGTCGCGCCCCTCCTGGGCCTCGTAGCGCCCCTCCTGGGCCCCGTAGCGCCCCTCCTGGGCCCGTCGCGCCCCTCCTAGGCCCCGTAGCGCCCCTCCTGGGCCCCGTCGCGTCCCTCCTGGGCCCGTAGCGCCCCTCCTGGGCCCCGTAGTGCCCCTCCTGGGCCCCGTAGCGCCCCTCCTGGGCCCCGTCGCGCCCCTCCTGGGCCCCGTAGCGCCCCCCCCTGGGTTCCGTCGCACCCCTCCTGGGCCCCGTAACGCCCCTCCTAGGCCCCGTAGCGCCCCTCCTGGGCCCCGTCGAGCCCCTCTTGGGCCCCGTCCCTCCTTCCTGTGAGAGTACGACCCCGTTACACCACTTGGCCTTTTCTTATTTCCTTCCCTTTTCATTTCTCTTTTTATCTCATCTCATTTGGTTTCCTATTCTTCCTCTTCCATTAACCTTTGGTTTATCCTGCTATTATAATTATATCACCGACCAGGCTTGGGATGTACTGGTGCGCTATATCTAGCGTAATCCTGCCGTAATCCCTTAAAGCCAATAGCCTCGCGTGGCTATACGCAGGGTGATTCTATCTTCTAGAAGGGTCTATTCCCTTAGGATAAGATAAACCTGGTTACCTGATGTACTCTGGAAGTATAAAAGCGCCTTGTACTGATCGATAGTGCAACCTTTCCTCGACACATTCGATCCTGTGACACTTGGTAATCAGAGCTTTTCTCACTCGACCGCGCTCAGCTAAGCAGCAGCAGCGGGGATCTTGCCTCGAAAAACCGCCGGGGGCGACCAATTCGACGCCGATTCTGGTAAGCACCAGCTCCGCGATTTTCGAATTACCCCCTCCGTGCGTGTTTTGAACAGGATGGCAACCTTCGACAACGCCGAGGTTACCCAGCAGCTCTTCGCGCGCATCGCAGCCCTTCAGGAGGAAATGCGAGCGGATCGCGAAGCGTGGCGAAACCAGTTCGAGCGAGTAACTCGACTCGCCGGAGCGCAGCACGAGACGACAACGGCGACGACGCAGCAGTCGCAGCAGTTTCTCAAGGCTCCGAAACCGCGCCCACCTGAGCCGTTCGATCCGAGCGATCGAAACTCCGACGCCCGCAGATGGATCGCCGGATGGAGATCTACTTCGCAGCCGTCGGATGGAGCTCGCCAGTCTGGGACGGTCAACGTGTACGACTCGCGGCGACACTGATGCGAGGGCCGGCACTCGAGTGGATTGGCGGCAACAGTACTTTCATCCACGGTGAAGCCACGTGGCAGCAGTTCCGCGCCGACCTGCTGAAACGCTTCGAACCGATAAATTCGAGTTTCCTTGCCCGGGAAAAAATTCATCGACACCGACAGTTCGGGAGTGTAGCGCAGTACACGCAGCAGATGGAGGAATTTTATAACCGCATTCCCGACCTGACCGAAGGGGAAAAAGTACAATCGTACCTCGCCGGGCTGAAGACCGAAGTCAAACGACAAGTCGCAGCGTCAAACTACGCGAGCTACAGTGACGTCGTTTCGGCAGCGGAGCGCTTCGACATGGTCAACGCCGGAACACGACGGACGCACGTCGGCAGTACGCGACAGGGCGACCGCTCGGCTCACCCCACGTTCGCCGACCCGATGGAAGTCGACAGATTCGAGGGGCGGCCACGTCCGAAAAACACCAACTACACGTGTGATTTTTGCGGGGTGCCGGGCCACCGAATCTTCGACTGCAACAAAATGAAGGCCACACGCGCAGAGTATCGGGCACGCAACAGTGGCGGAAATCTTTCGGCCAATCAGAAGACAAAAAACGGGAGTCGCCAGTGATTGCGGATCTAGCTGGCGAAAATAAAAAGATCCGAAAGCGGCCGCGGGATTCCGGGAAAATCAACTTCGACGAAGCTGATTCGACGCGAGAAGGAGGAAATGATGGGGGAAAATCTCCACCCCACGACCAGTCCTCGCCAGGGAAAATCGCCGAGGAAAAATACGACTCCGCGAAAAAAGACTCTGCCGAGACAGGGAAACTCCTTGAAGACCCAAGAAATTATAAGAATTCGTTAAAGTTATCTTATAAAGATGCTTTAATGAAAACTTATGATGTTCGAGGGGCTAGAGCCTTGGAGAAATTTCAGGAGGGACTCCAAAAGAAGCAGACAGCTGTGGAGATTATACCGGTACCTGACAACCTGGGGACCAAATTAAGGAGTGTGGAAAGAAGCCGACCTTTCCACGGAGTCAACGTCCTCTCCCGACACCAGCCCACAACGACTACCCGCTCCCCAGGGAAGACGTCGGTGGAGCTGAAGCAACTCAAGAGGAAGCTGGGGGTCTACAAGAAGCTGCACAAACCCCGAACTCCTCCTACGGATGCATCCAGTTCTTCGGCATCAGTGACGCGCACAGTCGTCAGGGAAACTGGAGAAGAGCCGTTCTCCAAGCAGCCTCGGCCAGCTGCCAGCTCAGGAGTAGACAGCAACACAAAGGTGTGTACGGAGTATTGGGATGTACCCTATGACCCAATCAATGAAACTATCTTTGGGTACTCCGAGCAACGACTGCCCCTCGTGCTCGAGGTCATCTGCAAAGGAGGACGCCTCCAAGCACTCGTGGACAGCGGAGCGTCACACACCGTCTGCAACAAGGCAGTAATCGACCGACTACGGGGAGAGTACAAACCTTCAGGATTCTCTGCAACGATGGTGGACGGCAGCAAGTTACCAGTACACGGCGAAGCAGTGCTACACCTACAAATTGGACCACTGCGCTGGAGACCTGCACTCCCCATCACCAACATCAAAGGGCTTGACTTGATCTTCGGGCGAGACTTCCTGAAAAAATTCAACCCCGAGATCAACTGGGTGAACCGCACCGCAAGCATCTACAACAATGGGCGGAGAGTACAGCTACCCAACTGAGACGATACTGGAGATATCCCAGTGGAGACACTCGCACGATTCGAGAAGGATGTGAAGCGGACCGACACCGGGTTCCTGGCGATAGCAACAGAGGTGGAGAATGACGGAGAGAAAGCCTCGGAAACTCCAGAAAAAATCAAGGAATTATTAAAGGAGTTCCAAGACATTCTTCCTGACGATCTTCCGAACGAGCTACCGCCATACCGAACGCATCAACACGAGATCGTGGAGGAACCGGGTTCGAAGCCGACCTTCCGAGCACCATATCGGCTCAGCCCTACGGAGCTGACTGACATGAAAAAACAGATCGAGTATCTCCTAGCCAAAGGACTCATCCGGCCATCCACTTCGCCATACGGTGCCCCAGTACTCTTCACACCGAAACCGGACGGAAGCCTGCGCATGTGCATCGACTACCGAGCTCTTAACAAGCAGACCATCAAGAATAAATATCCGATACCGCGAATCGATGACCTGCTTGACCAGCTTCGGGGAGCTACGGTATTTTCCAAACTGGATCTGCGGTCCGGATACTGGCAGATACGGATGGCGGACAACTCTATCCACAAAACTGCTTTTCGAACTCGGTACGGATCGTACGAGTATTTGGTCATGCCATTCGGACTCACCAACGCGCCGGCAACGTTCCAAGCCGAAATGAACCACATTCTACGACCACTTCTGGACGAATGCGTGGTGGTGTACCTGGACGACATACTCATCTACTCGCGCGACATGAAGCAGCACGTCGAACACCTGCGACGCGTCTTCGAAATTCTTCGACGGGAACGATTCTACGTCAAACTGTCCAAGAGCGAATTCGCCCTTGAAAAGGTCCAGTTCCTAGGGCACATGGTGAGCGCTCAAGGAGTTCACGTCGACGCCAAGAAAATCGAAGCCGTACGTACGTGGAAGACACCCGAGAACGTGAAGGAGTTGCAGCAGTTCCTAGGCTTCGCTAATTACTACAACAGGTTCGTGCCACAGTATGCGAAACTCGCGGCACCACTCACGAATCTGCTGAAGAAGAACACGCCCTACAAATGGGAGACGAAGCACCAGGAAGCCGTGGAGCAGCTGAAACAAGCACTAACATCCGCACCGGTGCTCATCTTGCCAGATCCCGAACGTGACTACGTCATTGAAGCAGACGCCAGTGATCAGGCCGTGGGTGCAGTCTTAATGCAAGACCAAGGGAATGGACTGCAACCAATTGCCTACCTCAGCAAGAAATTGCACGGGGCAGAACTAAACTACCCGATACACGACAAAGAGGCCCTGGCTATCATCATCGCCTTCAAAGCGTGGAGATGCTATCTCGAAGGACGAAGAACAACCGTCTACACCGACCACTGCAGCCTGAAATACTTGAAGACACAACCCAACCTTTCCAGGCGGCAGGTCCGGTGGATTGACTTCCTCGAGACACACTTCCACTACGACATCGTGTACAAGCCCGGCCACAAGAACAAAGCAGACGCTCTCAGCCGGCCTGCACACGTTGCCGCGATTCAGGTCGAAGGGATGAATCCACTACTCAAGGGACTCTTCACCCACGGGT